ACATTTCGGGAGACCTGGGTTCGATCCCAGGGTGAGAAGATCCCCTGGAGGAAAGCATGGCAACTCACTCCAGTATTCTTGCCTGGAGAATCCCTATGGACAGAGGAGCCTGCTACAGTCCATGGGGTTGCAAAGAGTCAGACACCACTAAGTAACTAAGCACACACAAACAATAGACGACAACACAAAATCAGTTTAAAAGGAATAAGAAATCAATTTAAATACATTGAAAAAAATAAAATTAGAAATATAGCATATCAAAATTCATGGAACTCAGCAAAAGTAGTTTTAAAAGAGAACTTCACAGAGATAAATGTCTTCCTCAAAAAATAAGACTCAAATAAACAACCTAACTTTACACCTAAAAAAAGCTAAAAGATGAGAAAAAAAAAAATGAAGCTCAAAGTTATTAGAAGGGAGGAAATCACAAAGATTAAAGCAAAAATAAATGAAATAGAGACTGAAAAGACCATAGAAAAGATCAATAAAGCTAATAATTAGTTCTTTGAAAAGATAAACAGAATTGGTCAGTCTTTAACTATACTTAGCAAGAAAAAAGTATAGAAGTCTTAAATAAACAAAATCAGAAATGTAAAGGAAACATTATAAATGATACCCTGGAAACAAAGGGTCATAAAAGACCATTATGAACAATTATATAACAGCAAATTTGACAAGGTAGAAGAAATGAATAAATTTCTAGAAATAAATGCTTACCAAAATTGAATCATGAAGAAGTGAAAAAATCTGAACAGGTTGATTAGTAGTAAGAACATTAAATCAGTAAACCTCTCCACAAATAGAAGTTCTGCCTCTGATAGCTTCACTGATGAATTCTACCAAATACTCAAGAAAGAACAAAGCATAATTTTTCTGAAGCTATTTTAAAAATAAATGACAGGTGAAGGGGCAAAAGCTATTTTATATACATTATAAAGGGCTAAAATTACACTGTTAACCAACACCATATTAAGAATGCTATGAGAAAAAAAAGAAGATTATTATCCCACATTAACAAAAACTCAAAAATTCTCAAGATATTAGTAAATGCTGTATCAAACAATATACTGAAAGGATTGTGCACTGTGAGGAAATAGGACTGTCAAACATTCAAAAATCATGCTCCATGAAAAAATAATGGATAAAAATCATATAATCATCTCAATAACATCAAAACCAGCATTGGAATACATTAAAAACTTTTTTTTACAATAAACCTGTCAGTAAAATGTTTATAGTGAAAATGTATTTCAACATAATAAAGGTCATATATGACAAGCCCACAGCTAACTTCATACACCATGGTGAAAAGTTGAAAACCTTTTCTCCAACATCAGGAAAAAGACAAAGTTGCCCACTCTTGTCACTTTTGTTTAACATAGCCAGGGAAATTAGACAAAAAAGAAATAAAATATATCTAAATTGGAAAAAGAGAAGTAAAACTGTCACTATTTGCAGATAAAATAACTATACATCTACAAAAAGCTGGAGATTTCACCAAAACATGAGATTGTGAATAAACAAATGGTATAAAGTTGCAGGATACAATGATAATATATGTTTCATTTTAATACACTAATAACAAACTATTAAAAGAAGAATTTAAGAAAGGAATTCTTTTTGCAATCACATCAAAAGAATAAAATACCTAAGAATAAATTTAACCAAGGAATTGTAAGATCTGTGTAATGAAAAATACATGATACTAATAAAAATAATTAAAGAAGAGAAATAAGCAGAAAGATGCTTTGTACTCATGTACTGAAGGGATTAATGTTGTTAAAATGTCCCTATCATCTAAAACAATCTATGAATACATTCAAAATGTCTATGTTTTCTTTACAGAAACAGAAACATATTAAAATTTGTATGAAATCACAAAGACCCTAAATAACTAAAGGACTTTCTCTTTAATAAACAGTGTTGGGAAATGTGACAGCCACATGCATGAGAGTGAAAGTAGACCATTACCATACATCACACAAAAGTTAAGTCAAAATTAAAGACAAGCATGAAACCATCAAACTCCTAGAAGAAAATATATGTGATAAGTTCCTTGACAGAAGTCTTGGTGATGACTTTTTGCATCTGACACCAAAAGCAAAGGTAGCAAAAGCAAAACAAACAAGTGGGACTAGATAAAACTAAGAAACTTCTGCAGAGCCAAAAACTCTTCAACAGAAAGAGAAGGCAACCTATTGAATGAAAGAACATGTTTGCAAACTGTACATCTGATAAGGAGTTAATATTTAAATCTATAAAAACCCATACAACTCAATTTTTAAAAATCCAGTTAAAAACTTGGCAAATCTGAATAGATATCTTTCCAAAGAAGGCACATAGATTCCCAAAGGGACTTGAGAAAGATGCTTAACATCATGAATCATTATGGAATTGAAAGTCAAAATTATAATGAAATATCACCTTGACTTGTTAAAATAGCTATTCCTAGAAATACAAGAAGCAACATTTTTGGCAGGGATATGAAGGAAAAAAGAAAGAAATCCTTGTCCAAGAACTGACACTTTCAAACTGTGGTGTTGGAGAAGACTCTTGAGAATCTCTTGGATTGCAAGGAGACCAACCCAGCCAATCTTAAAGGAAATCAATCCTGAATATCACTGGACGGACTGATGCTGAAGCTGAAGCTCCAATACTTTGGCCACCTGATGCGAAGAGCTGACTCATTTGAAAAAGACACTGATTCTGGGAAAGATTGAAGGCAGGAGGAGAAGGGGACAACAGAGGATGAGATGGTTAGATGGCATCACTGACTCAATGGACATGAGTTTAAGCAAGCTCCCAGAGAGAAGGAAGGACAGGGAAGCCTCACATTCTTCAGTCCATGGGGTCAGAAACAGTTAGACAGGACTGAGAGACTGAACAACAACAACAGCCACAGCTAGAAAGCCTGCTCATTACACTGAAATGAGGCCAGTGTCAAATAATAAATGTTAAAAAACTACAATGGGAAACTACTTATTTCAGTGGCTAAAATTAAAAGGACTTACAATGATGTAGGACAACTAACATTCTCAGTTTTTAAGGGAGCTTAGCCAATAGAAGTTGGCATAAAAATCTTAGGAAAATTTAACATTATCAAGTACTGATCAATGTTATTATAACTAATGAACTAATAATTCCACTGTTGTCTAAACAGAAATGAAAGCTGAGTTTCTTAATTGGTAATACAGAAATGTCTGCAGCAGTTTAATTTACAGTAGTCCAAAACTGGAAACAATTCAAGTATCCACAAGAGATGAATTAATAAGTGTTATAATATTAATATTACATGATAAATAAAATATAATATTTAACAGGAATATAAAACTATTAATAAATTTTCATAGTACTGAGGAAACAAAATATGGCATAACTAACACTGATATTTTAAAAAAGGATTTCTGGAGTTATTGACTGGAAGATAGCACAAGGAAGACTTCAAGTGTACTAGAAATATTCTAATCCTTAATATTTATTGTGGTTACACTGGTATAAACATATGTAAAATTCATCAAAATTTACTTGTGAGTTTGTGTTTAATAACATTAATTAAAATCTATATCAACTGTAAATAAATGACTTAATGATGATATATTCAAGTTCACTCCCCAATTAAAATTCTCTTATTATTCATACTTTTGATATATTGCCTCTGTATGGTACTACTTTATTTCTAGACATATATGAAAAACATACCAGTGCAACTTTTGGAATTTTTTGTGCAAATTTTATTAAAGAATTAAGAGTAGGAAATCCCCAAAGTAATCAAAACAATAAAGAGGTGTACATTGTATAACTTTGAAAACTATTTTGGAATTATTTTTTAATTATTGATTTCATATTTAACTTCATTTTGTTCAGATCTGTTATTCTGTCACTCTGTCATTTCTGACTCTTTGCAACTCCATGGACTGCAGCATGCCTGCAGTCTTCCTTGTCCTTCACCATCTCCGGGAGCTTGCTCAAACCCATGTCCATTGAGTCAGTGATGCCACCCAACCATCTCATCCTCTGTCATCCCCTTTTCCTCCTGCGTTCAATCTTTCCCAGTGTCAGGGTCTTTTCCACTGAGTTGGCTCTTCGCATCAGATGGCCAAAGTATTGGAGCTTCAGCTTCAACATCAGGACTTCCAGAGAATATTCAGGACCGATTCCCTTGGGGATTGGCTGGTTTCATCTCCTTGCAATCCGAGAGACTCTTAAGAGTCTTCTCCAGCACCACAATTCAAAAGCATCAATTCTTTGGCCCTCAGCCTTTGTTATGGTCTAACTCTCACATCCATACATGACTACTTTAAAAACCATAACTTTGATTAGAGGGACCTTTGTTGGAAAAGTAATGTCTCTGCTTTTTATTAAGCTGTCTAGGTTGGTCATAGCTTTTCTTCCAAGGAGCAAGGGTCTTTTAATTTCATGACTGCAGTCACCATCTGCAGTGATTTTGGAGCCTAAAAATATAGTCTCTCTCTGTTTCCATTGTTTCCTCATCTATTTGCCATGAAGTGATGGGACCAGATGCCATGATCTTAGTTTTATGAATGTTGAATTTTAAGCCACTTTTTCACTCTCCTGTTTTGCTTTCATTAAGAGGCTCTTTAGTTCTTCTTTGCTTTCTGCCATAAGAGTGGTGTCATCTGTGATTGCATAGGCCAACTTATGCGGTTTCTGATGGGTGTTTGACTTTGATGACCAAATGTTCTGTTGTATCTGCCTAGATTGTGTCTTTAACAGATAAATAGTCCTCTTTCCCAACCCTTATAGGAGTGACCTGTATTTTGCATAAGAAATAGCCCTAGTGATCTGCACATTTGCAGAGATCAAGTGTCTTAGATAACTTTTGAAAAAGAAATAGCTAATTCTTACTCATTTTTGAAAACTCATTATCATCAGGTGGTTTATTAAGACTGAGCATATTTATGCATCTCAGGTCATATCCATGGACCCATGTCCATCATAAATCAATATAACCTTTAAACATTTTGGACAGAATCAGTTTCAAAATAAGATTTTATTTGTGGTTTGCGTTAAAACATATTACTCACTGCAATTACAATTAGATCCTGGGGAAAGGTATGGATTACTTAAATGAAAAGTTGCATGAATCGAAAAGACTGCCTTCAAACACTAAATAATACAGTCTGCAGAGAAATAAAAAACAATATTGTGACAATTTAACACATGTTTTGATTATTCACTTTCTCCTATGCCATGGGCTTTCATTTTAAGTTATAGCTAAATAGCAGTGTTCTTATCTTTCTTTGATCTCTATATTTAATTATTAGAAATGCACAGAGCAAGGACATAGAAAACATAATATGAAGAATAAATTACTGGAAAGAAATAAAATATCAACCCCATTTTAACATTTTTCACTGTTTGTTATTGGCGATAATATTTAACTTTCTAACTTTCTGTTTATTTAGAAAATGGGAGTCAAAATACTTATGTCACATGGTTGTCATAGGATGCAAAATAGTTTCGGGCTTCTGAGGTAAGGGAATCTGCCTGTCTGTGCATGAGATGCAGGAGAGGCGAATTCGATCCTCAGGAAGATCCTCTGGAGAAGGAAATGGCAACCCACTCCAAAACTCTTGCTGCTTAGCATGAGGTATTGCAAGTAGTAAAAGCTCAAGAAACATTACGTCTTGATATGGGCCAGTATTCTTGCTTATAAAATCCCATGGACAGAGGAGCCTGGCAGGCTGCGGTCTATGGGGTCACAAAAAGTCAGACTTTACTGAGGGACTGAGTGAGCGTGCATACGTGTGGACGCGCACGCACACACACACACACAGAGACGGTAGACTGACAATTCTTAACAACTTCCTATTATACCAGTCATTGAATTTAATTTTCTCTTCAAGCATTACTAAAGAAGAGATAGCTATAATATGGTTAAAATGCTAATAACTTCAAGAATTTGACAATGGGTAATGTTAAATTCTGGGACTAAGTTTGCTGGTATTTGAAGTCTGCACATTTTCCCAGCCACCTTTTCAAGGCTTCTCTGACCTCACTGTTCCTCAGACTGTAGATGAGGGGGTTCAGCACAGGAGTAAAGATAGTATAGAAAGCTGACACAACCTTATCATGGTTAGCTGACCTATAGGATTTGGGTCTCATGTAGATAAAAATGGCAGGTCCATAAAAGAGTGCCACCACAGCTAAATGGGAGGAACAGGTGGCAAAAGCCTTCTTGAGGGCTTCTTGAGAACGCATATGGAGAACGGCAGAGAGAATGAGACTATAGGAAGTCAGAATGAGGGAAAAGGGAATTAGGAGCATTAACACACAGCAAACGTACATGACATTTTCAAAGGCTGATGTATCAGCACAAGCCAAACGCACCAACATGGGGGCCTCACAGAAGAAATGATCGATCTCATGAGCACTGCAAAATGGGAAGCTCAATGTAGTGGTCGCTTGCATGAGCCCATCAGCTGCCCCCAGGAACCAAGAGCCCAAAGTCATTTGAATACATAATCGCCAGTTCAGGAGTACAGGGTATCTCAGTGGGTGGCAAACAGCTACATAACGGTCATAGGACATGGCGGCTAGGAGGAAACTCTCTCCACCACCAAGCGTGAGTGAGACGAAAATCTGCAACCCACAGCCAGCAGGAGAGATGGATTTGTTCCATGTCAAGTAGTCAGCAGCCATTTTGGGCACGATGGAGGAAACCAGCATCATGTCCATGAGAGAGAGTTGGCTCAGTAGGAAGTACATGGGCCTGTGGAGTTGGGGGTCCAGGAGAATCAGGAGAAGCATGAGGGCATTGGCCATCAAGGAAGCAATGGCCATTGTCAGAACCATCATAAATAGAAAGAGGTGGGATCTTGTGTGCTTAAAGATTCCTAGGAGAATAAAGTCTGAGGTTGTATTTCTCTTCATGATTTCTGCTGGATATGACACTGGAAATGGAAAAAAAAGAAAAAGAAAAGGTAAGGGCTTTTATTATCCAAAAATCTTAGTTCAACTTAATAACTTCTGGTTATGTAGTGGATATGGGATCCAAGAATCTGATTCAAAGCCTTACTTCCCGTTTATAATGGGTCTTCTTGACCTATCATCCACTTCTCAATAGTGGAATGTTAATAAATGTTAATATTTTAAGTAAGGTCAAGTTATATAATTCAGAGAATACTGTATTAACTAATTGAGATGATAGATTAGAATAGATCAAAAGCAGAAAACAATATCAAGGATTAAAAAATTGTAAATAGTTATTTTGACTGTACATTTTGTATTATTATTTTATGCTCTTATTATGTGTATTGAAACCAAATTAACTTATTGAGGAAATAAACACTCATTTGGAAATTTGTCATTTATATTTTTTTAATCACAGGTAACTTTTTTCTAAATTTTGGAAATTGTAACATATTCAATCTAGTTTTTTTTTTTTAATATAACAAGAAATTATAGTTTCCAGGATCATGAAATGGAACAGATGAGTATAAGTTAAACAAAATTTCTGCATTGAAGGGAGATAATATCCTCAGTAACTGATGAAAATGTCCTTTTATTCTTTTTCTCACTGAGTCACTATTTCTATTTACATGATTTTAAAATGCAGATATTCTAGTTCATTACTCTCTCCTCTGAAATCTTCAGTGTCTTCCCGCAACACTTATTCTCACAAACTTATTTCTCCAGCTTCCTACGGCTTGGTGACAAGCCCTAAACACCATTTCACCGCAAAGTATACTATCATAGAGACTTCAAATCATGAGGTGAATATGACAGGGAAGCATGAGAAATCTTCCATGTTAGTAAATGCTTAGAGAAAATACCAATAAGTATGATGAGAAGTAACATTACTAAAAGGATAAAGAAGCAATTTTAAAGCAATTTCATTACCATGAAGGGTAATTGTTAACAAAATGTAAAGATACTTGGGAAGAGAAAACACTTTATTTTAAAAATACCTAAATTCAAATATGTGGCTTGTCTTTAAACATAGTTTTTAATATTCATCAAAAAAGAACCATTTTCTTGTGCTGTGTGTGCTTAGTCACTCAGTCATGTCTGACTCTTTGGGACCCCATGGACTGCGGCCTGCCAGGCACCTCTGTTCATGGGGATTCTCCAGGCAGAAATACATGGAGTGGGTTGCCATTCCCTTCTCCAGGGATCTTGGCATCCCAGGGATCGAACTCAGGTCTCCTGCATTTCAGGTGGATTCTTTACTATCTGAGTCACCAGGGAAGACAAAACTGAAATGACTGAGATAAATGAGTACTACTTCATTAGAAATGATTTACAGGTTGAAAGCCATTATACACAGAGTACAAGTAAGAATTTTTTTAGTGTTTACCATTTTTAAACTCGATACTAAGAAAAAAACGTAAATTTATAAAGAGCAGAAGAGTATATAGCTTCAAGGAACCAATACTCCCCTGTTAACTAGCAGAAAAAATGCACAAATGTGCCACTTTTTTTTTTTTAAATAAATGTAACATTTGCAGATCATGGCATCTGGTCCCATCACTTCATGGCAAATAGATAGGGAAACAGTGGAAATAGTGACAGACTTCACTTTTTTGGGCTCCAAAATCACTGCAGATGATGAGTGCAGCCATGAAATTAAAAGATGTCTTGGAAGAAAAGTTATGACCAACCTAGACAGCATATTAAAAAGTAGAGACATCACTTTGCCAACAAAGGTCTGTCTAGTCAAAGCTATAGTTTTTCCCGTAGTCATGTATGGATGTAAGAGTTGGACTATAAAGAAAGCTGAGCACCAAAGAATTGATGCTTGTGAAATGTGGTGTTGGAGAAGACTCTTGAGAGTTCCCTGGACTGCAAGGAGATCCAACCAGTCCATCCTAAAGGTAATCAGTCCTGAATATTCACTGGAAGGACTTATACTGAAGCTGAAGCTCCAATACTTTGGCCACCTGATGTGAAGAACTGACTCATTTGGAAAAATCCTGATGCTGGGAAATGTTGAAGGTGGGAGGAGAAGGGGATGACAGAGGATGAAATGGTTGAATGGCATCACCGATTTAATGGACATGAGTTTGAACAATCTCTGGGAGTTAGTGATGGGCAGGGAGGCCTGGGGTGCTACATTCCATGGGGGTCACAAAGAGTCGAACACGACTGACTGACCGAACTGAACTGAAGGTTTGCAGACCTCTTTATTACTGATATGGTGAAGAAAACTTCACCAAATCTTTAAAGATGTAAAGATTTCTAAGCCTGTTGTCTAGAATTTGTCCAGTTATTGATTATTACAGAGACAGGTAGTGATGATGCTTTCTGTTCTAAAGGGTTTGATTTTGTAAATATCTTAATTCTATAAAAATCATATGGCCATCATAGAGAAATCATGACATCATACACACTAGCAGTCTCTTTAAAACACCTGCAGAAAAGCAGTGCTAATGGTTTATTAAATCACTATTTGAACCACAAGAACATTCACATTTGAACAGACATAAAACACATATTAACACCAGTATCTTCAGAGAATTGTTTAAGCATCAGATACCAGAAAAATAGGTATTCTACTTTACCCAATCAAGGCATTGTTAAACCTTGTGAGTCCAAATAACCTCTATCTAGTATATGCAGTCTCTTGTTGTATATACTGTTTAAAATATCTTTCTCCTATTTTTGACATGAACCTTGAATTCAGACTCCTTCTGTCTTCATTATAAATTTAAGTTACACTTCAGTTCATCTTACTGATGATGAACAAAGACCACAAGACCTGGAATACAGAAGTCTTGGTTTAAGAATCATTCTGTCATTTTCTACATATGTGATAGGTCAGTCAACCTTGTTTTGTTTGTTTACTTATGCTTAAAATTATAAACCTCCTAAAAAGATTACTCATATAATTAAAAGAAGACATTTTGTACACAAAAGATTTTTGAAATAATTTCGCAAGTCATTTTACAGATTCAGGCAAAATTTTAAATTAATTCATCATTCAGGATAATTTGCTGCTATTTTAAAAAATTTTCATGTAAACAAGAGCTAGAAAGTCACAGTATAATACATTGATTTGATAAATTGACTGAATGCTCTGGCAAATTGAAGGTGACATTCAAAGGCAAAGCTTAAATGACAGAGATACACACATACACATGCGTCACACATGTATGTGTTTAAATTAAATAAAAGTAAAACTTGTAAATATTACTCTTTAAAATTAAAAAATAGTAAAAGTAAATAAATCTGTTATGTTTGTTTATTGTTTTAATAAATTACACTGCTCAAAATTCAATATGGTAATTTAATAAAAATGTCAGCTTAAATGTATTACATAATTCTTTTAGTTATATGGACAAGCAGCTTCATCTTTTTTTCCTAAATATCATACAAAATATGTTTAAATGAAGAATGTTTGTAATTATGAATATATCAATGTATTTACTTGCTATGTGAAATGTTTAGCTGTTAAATAAAAAGCTACATTACCTCAGCAAATTATGACTATGGACATGCCCTTATAAGTATTTCTTCATTAGGTCAATTGTGGGCAAAATTAATTCCAGCCTGTTATTAATAAATAGGGTAAAAAATTGAAGAAATTTTAAAACTATACATAGTTTTTCCAAAAATGATAGAAATATTTCTCCTCCAGAAATAGATGATATATACTTTTTTAGATGCATATGTATGTATCCTTCAGAGAAAGAAAAGACTTTGTTTCATTTTCTTTAAAGTAACAGTATATCTTGCCCCCCCAAAATTTTATACTTACTTTGTCCCTCTTATATGAAAAATATTTTAGAAACTCCATTAATCTCAAAAGTATGCCCGTTCTGATGCTGTTACACAAATTGATTATAGTCTCCCCCCATCCACACTTACTTGTAAACACTGGGTCATTGTCGTGAATTACTGGGACTTTCCCTTTACAAACTCCTTTTCTCTTCTGCCATCCTGCCCTTCACAAAGAAAGTGCCTTTATAGTCACAAGATATTGATATAGTATGGTTACTTCCTTAAAACTGTCCCACTGTTCAGTGAAAAATTACCCTAATATTAATTCAATAAATTGAGTGAATTCACTGCCATGTCAAAATGACTTTTTAACTCAGAGTGGACACAGCCCACAACTTACACATAGAAAATAGGGAGGCTTTTATTTTTTATCATTTGTGGATGAAATTTTACAAAATTACTATGAAATTAAAAATTCAAATGTAAAGCATCAAGTACATAGCAAATATGAATCGATTGATATGACTTCTTAAAAAATGAGTAAATGATTTTCAAACTAATTAGACTTACCTCTATAGAAAAGTCATAATCCATGAAATGTGCATTTATATATATTTGATGCTTGATCTTTCTGATAGGTTGGCTACAAATGTTTGCTTATATAAGTGTTGAGGATACTGCTTTCTGCTCCTGGCTGCATGCCATATTTACTTAGCAGTCCTATATGACTGCTTAAAATATCCTACACCTACAAAATATCTTCCCTTGAGCAATGGCACTTGCAAAGGCAAATCTTCTATGGCAAGGGAACACAGATAAATGTTTCTTAACAGTAAATGATGAAATGAACTAATTTACCTCCTAGGTTTTCATTAAAGCAAAAGAATCCTGAGTGGTAAGGTGAAGCAATGTGACACTGTTAGAAACAGCAAATACAAGAAATTGTTCAAGGCAGCACTGGAATTCTGCTCCTTGAACCAAACACATGTGATTTAAATGCCTGAAATAGACAGTTCTACAAGAATGCAAACAATATTAATACTTTTAAAAAAACTGTCCTGAGATACCGGAGTAGAAGGATTTATCTCTAAATCATTTTAAATTTGTGATTCTCAGACTTTAAGGAATATCTGAATCACCAGAGGGCTTGTTAATTACACTTTGAAAAATATTTCCTTAATTATACCATCTGAAGGTGACTGTTGACTCTATCCTGAACTGGATG